CCCCCAAAGACCCCACACCTGCAGCCCCCAAAGACCCCACACCTGCAGCCCCCAAAGACCCCACACCTGCAGCCCCCCACCCGCGGGTCGCATCTCCCTCATCGGGCTCCCGCGGGGATGTCGCGGGCGTGTCCCGGGTCCCCTCGCCGCTGTCACCCCCTGGCAGCCCCGGCCACACGCGGACCTCGATGCCCCCTGCCCTGGCCAGCACAGGAGCCAGCAGGTGGCCGCAGGTGACCACGGGGCGCTCCCCCCGCTCCATCCCGGGGCTCGGAGCATCTCCGGGGAACCGCGATCCTACCTGGCAGGATCCCGAGGAGCAGGAGCAGGCTGGCGCCGTGCCCTGCCATGGCGGAGGAGGAGGAGGAGGAGGAGGAGGAGGAGGACGCAGGGAAGGCTCCGAGGCTCCGAGGGCAGCCGGCCCGTGCGGGGCCCTTTTAGGCGCTGGGCCGGGGCCGCTCCTCCCCGTGGGGCGGATTCCTGTGGGATGAGTGAGTGGCTCCGAGCTGTGCGTGGCTGCCGCCCTGCTCCGCTCCTACCCCCTAATTAGGCAGCGCCCGGCCCGCCGGACCCCGGCCGGACACCGGGGGGACACCGAGGGGACAGCGCGGGGACACGCCGGGAAGGGATGGGGATGGAGGGGACAGCGGTGGGGACAAAGCTGCCAGTGGCTGGAGGTGGCAGCTCGGCCCCACGGATCCCAAAAGGGTTCTGGGCTTGGAGAGGGACTCGAAGGGCTTAAAGGTGTGGTTGGAGTGGGGGTTTAAAGGCAGCAGATCCCTCCTCCGGACCTGCCCCTCGGCCGGCTGGCACCAGGACATGGTGGCAGCGTGGGGACCGTGGAGCCACCGAGCCCACGGGTCACTGCATGGGGACGTGGTGGTGTGACAGTGACAGGGCCAGGGGGACAAGGACGTGGCAGGGATGGAGGAGCTGGGACAGGGTCACGGGTGGTGGGGACAGGGACGTGGCAGGGATGGAGGAGCTGGGACAGGGCCACGGGGACAGGGACATGGCAGGGATGGAGGAGATGGGACAGGGCCACAGGGACAGGGACATGGCAGGGATGGAGGAGATGGGACAGGCCGTGGATGGAAGTGCTGGGGACACAGAGGTGGCAACAGGTGCAGGAGATGGGACAGCGACACAGGAATGGATGGAGGAGCTGGGACAGGGACGTGGAAGTGGATGGAGGAGTTGGGACGGTGACACACGGCAGGGGATGGAACCTATGGGGACAGGGACATGCCAATGGATGTTGGGACAGGGACATATGGCAGGGGATGGAACCCTTGGGGACAAGGACAGTGGCAGGGGATGGAACTCTTGGGGACAAGGACAGCGGCAGTGGATGCAGGAGCTGGGACAGGGACACACAGCAGTCCTTGGGGACAGGGACATGCCAGTGGATGTTGGGACAGGGACACATGGCAGGTGATGGAACCCTTGGGGACGGTGACACACGGCAGGGGATGGAACCCATGGGGACAGGGACATGCCAATGGATGTTGGGACAGGGACATATGGCAGGTGATGGAACCCTTGGGGACAAGGACACATGGCAGGTGATGGAACCCTTGGGGACAGGGACAGTGGCAGGTGATGGAACCCTTGGGGACAGGGACACTGGCAGGACAGGGAAGAGCTGGGACAGGGACACAGGAATGGCTGGAGGAGCTGGGACAAGGACAAGTGACAGCAGGTGACACCAAGGGGGCTCAGCCCCGTGGAAAGGCCATGCCAAGGACACTGTCCCTGCCCGTGTCCCTCAAGGTCACACGAGAGACATGGACACCATGAACATGGGGACATGGGGACATGGACACCATGAACCCAGGGACTTGGGGACACAGGGACATGGGGACACAGGGACATGGGGACACAGGGACATGGACACCATGAACTTGGGGACATGGGGACACAGGGCCATGGGGACACCCGGATGCTGTCACCCAGGAACCACTGTGTGCCCCCACCCCCAATCAGGGACCCCAAACCCCCCAAGTGTCCCCAGGGTCACAGCGCCCACATGGGACAGGTGTCCCTGTCCCTGGTCTGGGTGGCCGTGACCCCCCCC